TAGATCTGAGCTTTGTTTACTTTCGGGCTTTGCAAGGCAATTGCGGCTGAGTTCGAACATGATTAGGAATTCACGACGCTTTTACGACCAATGCGGTCACTTAGTAAATACAACCTACGCACTCATCTATAACCTTAGTCTTCATCTGCTGTTGTCTGCGTTTTCGGATGCTGCATATAACCGACACCTTTGACGTACATTGTTCTCGTACTGGCAATCCAATTTTCATACTTGAAACCACTTGGTGGGTGTCACTGCGTCCAACACGTTTCTAATTCTGGACGGACGAGAATTTCCTATAAATAGATGTTCCCAATCCGTAGCCTACTTGGCGTTCGTACCAAAGCCCACACCGTTCGATTTGTGACTTCACCAAAGCCGCGCATTACATTGACGGATGAATACCTGCGCCTGTCAAATAGCAACTACCCCACGCAGTGTCGTAAGAAGTCATTTCATTCACCCGGAAAACAAATCTCGTACTAAAGTGGCCGACCCCGTGTGAGCACCGCACATCTTTTAAAGTAAGAACTGCAACACAGATTTACTTGCAAATTGTTGATTTCTTTTAAAAATTCAGGAAGATGGCTGACGTTTACAAGCGAATGCTTGCTGCTCCGTGAATCCTGTTGAGCATTTCCCCTGGGCACTGGGACGACCAGACCCAAGCAGTCAAGTTATTGTCGGGGTTGGCTGAACCATCCGGTGCTGCGAAGGCCTCTACCGTGTTGCCTGGCTCGCCGGATGTGCCTACAAATTCAAAAATATTTTAATGAAGGTCGGTTACGAAAAAGAAGATTCCACAAAAGAGAAAGAAGGAAACAAAGAGGCATAGGCAGTATTCACATAAGTGCTGCAGAGTGGCCATTTAGGGAAAAAAACATGTCAAGTTAACGTCTTTCCCAGTCTTCAGTCCTCTACCTAAGGAAGGTGAATAAGTCAAATGGAATATTGTACATAGAGTTTTTGTCAGCGCTGCATAAGTTGTTTGATATTCTACGGATTATTCCTTAAAATTCATGCAAAGGCAACGTCTTTCACCGGCTTACAGTGGAGTCACTTTATAGATGAGGCCAAGATTTAAAAACATACTGTGGTGGGATATGATGAATTTCATGCATTCAAAACTGTTTACTAGAGACAAAAATTCCATATAAAGGTAAATCATCCTGACACCACAATAATACAACCGTCAGTGAGGTCGCTCCATTCAGTCTCAAAGCAAAACTCGGTGGACATATCACACACACAATGCTGGTGCATAGTGCGCATTTAGAAGAAAAAAGGGAAGAAAAACAAAAAGGAGAAAAGGAGATGGAATGCGTTTAATGGTGTGTTGCATTACCGTTGCCGATAACATAGACGGCGTTGGCGGAAGTGAGAAGAGTTAACCGGCAGCAAGGCTCCTGCATGTGGGCCAGTTATGTCCACTGGCCGAGGGAGTGCGGGCGTCTGGCGGCGTAAACATCTGCACACTGTTGAGATCTCGGCCATCCGCTCCACCGGCGACCAGAATTGCTCCCCGAAATGCCGTCGCTGCGAGCCCCCATCACGCAGTTCTCATGGGCGCAGCCGACTGCCAAAAGTTCGCTGAGGTCGCCTCCTGCCGCCGCCGACGCCAGTGTGCATGCAGATGGCAGATGAGCACAGAGGCAAGCGCGGTGCGATGTTTATCCAAACCGCAGAAGACCACGGAGGAGTTATTCCAAACCCGACTGTCGCCCGACTGCAGACAGGCGGCAAGCCGGGTGTCGCGTGGATTCCAACCGCCAAAAACGAAGACCTGACTGTCGCCGGGCAGACAGGCAGCGGCTGCGCGGACCCTCGCCTCCGGCAGATCGGGCAGTTTGTGCCATCTGTTCGGGCAAACAGGCAGGTGAGGAGATGAGGGGAGAAATATTTTTTGGCGAAAAAAAAATTAAAAAATGTGCGTCAAAACGAGCGTCTGCACTCACTTGTCCTGCCTCACGTCATTAACTTCACAGGAGGACATTGGTTTCACGAGAATCCCACCCATCGATCCACCGAAAACGCCAATCAGCGCCTCCTCTACGTCGGCAGCATCGGTGGAAACTGTTTGCGTGTTAGGAAAAGGACAGGACGGAGCTCCACGCTAATCGCATCATATTGGCGGCTTGCATTCCGTCTTTGCGAGCCACTCTCAGTGGCCCCCTCGGGGAGACGAACTCCGTTCTACGATGGCCGAGAATGCCACTGAGGTAAAATTATCTTCTATTCGGTGATTTTGTTCACGGCTTCTGCACTTTCTAGTCTCGCAACTACGTTCTCGCAGTATGTCTACACGGGCCGAGTGGAGATTAGAGAAGACAATGCGAGAGGCCTGGTGACGCTTGCAAGAGTGCTGGAGTTGCCTCACCTGGTGGACTGGGGAGTGGCTTTCATGGCCAGGGGTACGCGCATTTCCTGTCTGTCTGTTCTAAAGCCTCACTTTAGAAAATCTGTCCGACATCTTGGACTTTGCGAGGTCGCTGAATGTTGAAGCACTGACGGAGAATCGCCTACCTGCTCAAACTCTACTCATTGTGCTTTAAAGTGAAGATTTGTCTGTGTCGTCTGAAGAGCAGGTTATTGCGGCCATTGGACGGTGGGTGGATGCAGGTGCGTGCCTGGCGGATGATGACGAGAGGCTACAATTGCCTGCCCCAGCAATGCTAAAGGGGGTGCAGTGGCACCAGACGACCGTGGAATGTCGCAATTGTCTGCTGGAGAATCATCCGCCATTTGAGAAAAGTCCCGTGTGTCTGTAAGTACACGGCATTGCAGCCCTGTTATTTTTCTCTCTAAAAGTCGGCTTTTGTTCCAGATCTTAAATAGGATTGCACCTCAGGCAAGGAGAAGCTGTCCTGTCCTTTCAAAATCCGGTCTCGTATTCGCCAAGCATTCTTTGGAGCAGACGAAGATCAGACGATTTTCCTCTTAAGAAGTCGCCTTTACCTTTTTCGTATTAACTCACCCCGCTTCTGTGCCAACTACCAACCAACGGAATCCGCTCTGAGCTGCCCTCGAACAATCAGATCCTGTAGGTCGTCAGTACACGCGTGCGTGACGAAGGGCCACAATTGCATGCCCCAGCAATGCTAAAGGAGGTGCAGTGGCACCAGACGACCGTGGAATGTCGCAATTGTCTGCTGGAGAATCATCCGGCATTTGAGAAAAGTCCCGTGTGTCCGTCCTTTCCAAAGAGGAAAATCGTCTGATCTTCGTCTGCTCCAAAGAATGCTTGGCGAACACGAGACCTGATATAGAAGGGACAGGACCGCTTCTCCTTGCCTGAGGCGCAATCCTATTTAAGATCTGAAACAGAAGCCGACTTTTAGAGAAAAAAATAACAGGGCTGCAATGCCGTGTACTTAAGTACACGGCATTGCAGCCCTGTTATTTTTTTCAGTACACGTCGCGTGTGTCTGTAATTACAGACACACGCGACGTTTCTCAAATGCCTGATGATGCTCCAGCAGACAATTGCGACATTCCACGGTCGTCTGGTGCCACTGCACCTCCTTTAGCATTGCTGGGGCATGCAATTGTGGCTCTTCGTCACGCACGCGTGTACTGACGACCTACAGGATCTGATTGTTCGAGGGCAGCTCAGAGCGGATTCCGTTGGTTGGTAGTTGGCACAGAAGGGGGGGGTGAGTTAATACGAAAAAGGTAAAGGCGACTTCTTCATTGGTCAAGCCATAGAAGGTGTCACCGCCAAATATGGAATACCAACTAGGCTGACGTGTCTCGCGATTGGCTAGATAAATAACATGCGGAATGTTTCTAGGATGGCGTGACCTTCACGTAACCCGAAAAGACGAAAACGTAAGAAGACAACAATACTAAAAGCTACAAATAGGCGATTCAAACAAAAGCAAACCAAAATAATAAAGAAATTTAAAAAGGAAAACAGAGCAACATTGCAGGATAAATTACCATATTGAGAACAGAAATTGCAGTAAAAGTTCGTCAGCAAACTTAAAAAGAATAATAACACAAAACCATCAATACCAACCCGCACTAACGCGTTTTTTCGATTTTCTCTCGCAAAACTTGCTATATTATTCTGCGACAATCTTATTCTCTTATGCGGTGATTTGAGTCACGTGAATTTACGTCCCCTTACACTTTTAGGCTTTGATGATCTTGTATCCTTTAATACTCGCGCAGATGCCTCTCTTGATCATATTCTGACTGACCACAGCAAGCAATTTTTGCGTTAAAAGCCGGGCTCCATTGTCAGGTTCTGACCATTCCACTTTATTGTGTCTTCCAAAAATCTATTCCACTTCTAAACGTGCACTGCTTGCCAAGCCTGAGAGAAAGGTTAAGGTTCGCAACACGTCCGCCCAAAACATTCTCATGCTTCAGACTTGCATTTTTCTTACTATCCCCACTTTCCTTGAACATTCTAATGTCACGGTGACATGCGGGTCGGATGCATCCACACAGGCGGCATTGGTGGGCCAGGCATTAAACAAAGTGCGCCATAAAAAGGAAAGCTGTGTGCAAGACTGCTCAGTCTCTGAGGATGGGTAGAAGAAACGACTACCCGAAACGTCAGACCTCAAAAACACCTCCCCCGGTGAACGCCTCCTCTTCTATTGATATGTCACCCGGCAATCGTTTTTCCTTACTATTGTTAAGAATTTCTTCCCCCTATCTGAAATCCTTAAGACGTAAAAAATAACTCCTTTACAAGCAAGGCTTACGTGCTAGCCTTAAGGACGTTACCGTATAAATAAAATCACAGATTGACAGACTAAATAGCCTATTTGTCAGCCAACATTTTTCTTCTTCTTCCTCCCCCCCCCCCTTTCCCCCCTTCCTCAGCTGAGATTTGGAAAAATCGTTAGCGCCTCACTGGCCATCGCAACACAGTGGTGCATGTGGATGCAGATTTCGACTCCCTAAATAAAAATTTGATATTTAGTCACAATGACTCCCATCTTTCCTTAGATGAAATCCCCCTATCACCGAGTACACCTTAAAAAGGTCCGTGGATCAACAGCTGCCGGACCGGATGGTGTCTTGCCTTTTCTTCTTAAATCTTGCAGTTCTCAGATAGCCCCCATTTTAACGCACCTAATCAATATGTCTTTCATGGAGTCCAAGATTCCCGACGCCTGTCGTACAGTGAGAATCACTCCCATCCCTAAAAAGCCCGCTAACTTTGGTCCTAAATTTTTTCGTCCAATTGCCTGCTCCTCTGCAATACTAAAGCTTGCTGAAAGAGTTGCCCCAGATATCATAAAGCCTTTATCGTCCAGTTTTTCCGACCATTTACAATTTGCATATATCCAGACAGAGTACTTTAGATGCTGTCGCTCCTGTGGACTACACTGCTCTTAAAGCAGTAGACAAGGGTTTCCGTGAGTATGCGTGCGTTTTTCTTGATTACTCCTCCGCCTTCAATACCGTCCCGCGTCCTCTTCTCCTTTCCAAAACCTCCGCATTTGGCTCTCCAGGCTGGGTCGTCTCTTGGCTGAGCGATTATTTTACCTTCCGCATTCAATTTGTCCAGACTGGCAAGCGGAAATCTTCGACCCTTCCCAATGACTACGGTGTTCTTCAAGGTTCCATTCTATCCCCTCACCTGTTCTCCCTCCACACTGACGACCTAAGGTCCCCTAATGACTGTCTTCTGGTCAAGTCAGAAACACCTCCGGTCTCTGAAGGATGTCCTAAACCATGTCCTAGCGTGGTCGGAGGAAAATGTTCTCCTAATTAACAACCAAAAATTTGTTCAGTCTATTTTTCGACTGCGGCCATCTCCTAATCCTGATTCCTCTGACATTCTTCCTAACGAAGTATCCTCTTTCAGGTACCTCGGCGTTACTTTGTCCTCAAATCTTTCATTTTCCCTTCATATTAAGTCCCTATTTATTAAAGTTCGTAAACTTCTTTACTACATACGTCGTTTACGTTCCTACCACACAACTCAACTCTTAGTCTGGCGATTTATTAATGCCTGCATTCTTCCTCTTATCCTATACTGCTCTCCTGTAATTTTTCCTGCTTTGCTAAAATAGGATCTTTTAATTTTGAAACGAGTCCTCCGCATGCTCTCTTCAGCTGCTGGTGTTTCTTATCTTTTTTTAATTAACACTATCTTACAACGGCAATTCAATGCGGTCATGCAATTTGCTGGTCGAATTCTGGATGACGTTGCCCAGCCCTTACATTCTGATCTTATGTCTGCGAAATCTTCCCGCCCGATTCGCCGTAGCTTCCGACTTATATCCTGTCGCACATCGGCTTATCGAGCCTCTGTATTGCCATTCCTAGCGCGCTATCTTACGTGCGAAGAGACAGAAATACAGAAGCTAAGACTTGAACTATCCCCACAATAATCGTTTCTTTGTGTTAAACTTTGAATCTTGAATAATCTATTAACTTATTTACTGCCCAGAGTGAATGGAGCCATTTTTTGCTGAAAATTTTGAACTTACGATTACAAAATAAAGCGAATTCTTCTCTCTTCCTCTCTCCCACTCTACCAATACTGACACAGGAAGCAAACATTAGAAATTATGTATGCTCTAGGGAGCAGTGAGGGCTCAATCCCGATAAATGACACTACCGGCTTCTGTTTGTCAGTAATCAACATGGCAGGACTTATGTGTGTGTTCGTGAGACAGTGTTTCAAACCGCGAAATGCGCACCACTGGCTCCTGTGATACAGTTACAATAAAAGTAGGCATTCCGGGTGCGTTCGTAAGCAGAATGAGTTTAACACCGCGATCAATCTCAATAACGGCTTCTGTAACATAGTAGTCATCACAGCAGGCATTCTCGGAGTGTTCTGGCATTCTACATGTGAGTGACAGTCCAACAGGCTAAACCACAAGACAAATGGCACTACTTGTTTCTGTGACACGGAAGCCAGCCAAGCGAGCCTTCTACGTGTGTAAGTGAGGTAAGCTTGATTAAACACCCGATCCCAAGTAACATTGTCCTCTGTGACACCCCAGACAACTCAGAATGCATTCTGTCCGAGTTGGTGGGCTGAGCGCGCTCAACCACCCGACCAGAGGTACCAAAGTATTCAGTGACAGAAAAGACATCCTAGCATGCATTCAGTGCGAGTTTGTAGGCAGAACATGCTCAACCAAACGATCAGTGGTATTACAGCCAGCAGTGACAAAAAAGTCAGTCTAGCAGTCAATCAGTGCGAGTTGGGGAGATGAACATGCTCAACCAAACGACCGGTGGCAACACAGCCAGCAGTGACACAACAGACACTCTAGCGGGGACAATCTAGCAGCGATTTGGTGAGATGAGTGTGTTCAAACACCCACCAGATTTACCACAGCCAACAGTGGCACAACAGCATTCTAGCATCCATTCAGTGCGACTTGATGTGCTGAACGTGTTAAACCACCCACCAGTGGTACCAAAGCCAGCAGCGACACAACAGACAGTTTACGGGCATTGTTAAGGGAAGCGATTCAACACAAATCCGAGCAGCAGTGAAAAAAACTCCTGAGGTAAAGAAATAAAAATATAGTTCATGGTGGTTTTCATGATTTGGAGGGTTCAGGAGAAAAAACTGCTGGTGGTAGATTTTCGACCATCAAGAAGGAGAGGGGGGGTTGCACGGTATCGGAGAGTACCAGACGTCAATTCCTTTCATAAAGTTGGGGATAGTCCAAGTAGAGGCGTTGAGGAACAGCTGGCGAGACCGGCCATAGTGTTCACAGACCACAAACGCCATCGCTACGGTAGAGTCGATTAGTGGATTCAGCACCCAACATTTGTGGAAGCTTTTCTGAATGCAAAAACCGAGTAATAGTTCTCCTAAATAGAGGATAATTTTGCAGAGTTTTCACACTCATGGGTATTTTATTCCAAATAGCAACTGCATTAACAGAATAGAACCGACGATATTTAACAGTACGTGCCAGAGGCAGAAAAAAAGACCTCACGGTGACTGTTACGTCGTGGGTGGATATGATGTATTAAAGAGGTGAGTGGGTTAAATGTGTAATTGTATAAGCGTTCAAATAGCAAAAGTAGTCCCTTTTGCAGTCTACGGAATCATAAAGGATCAAGGTCCGTAAGCCGGCAACGTTCTTTGTAAGACAAATGTCGGTGTTCCGGGGTTAAAATTCTCTTGGTAAAAAAGTGTTGAACGGATTCTATTTTCTTCCGCTCAGTAGCACGCATGAGGCTAAATAAAAACGAACAGTATTCCAGGCCAGGTCTAACGTACATGTTGTAAAGGCGCATTCTAATGTCCCTAGTTTTAAAGTTTCGGAGGATAAACCCGGTCGTTCTACGTGCTTTGAAGACTATCAAGGCACAGTGCTCCGAGAGATTGAGACTCTTGGAGTATGAAACGCCCAGATCCTTAATAATCCCAGGCACATTTATGGCGTGACTTTCACTACTTAGTTGAGGTTGGCGGTCGTCGCCAACCACCATGACTGAGCACTTATGCCAGGAGAGAGAAAGGCGCCATGTGCGGCACCACTGGGCAAAAGCCTGTAGATCGCTCTTAAGGAGCTCGAGCACGATGTCATGA